GTTACATTTAATTTCTTAGGTTAAGAAAAGCTTTATAAATAAAAATTTCTAGTTACATGACACATCATGCTCAAGAGACAGGAAAAAAGAAAGACACCGACAAGATTTTTTTTTTTTATTAGACCACTGTGACTGTAACTGGGAACTTTCAGGCAACATCAGCTGTTAATATGAAAGCTATCTACTGTATTCCCCTGCAGCCCTTTAGTATGATCCTGATATTTTTGCTGAGACTTAGTTGCCTGAAAGCCAGAAGATGGTGAAAGGGAAAATCTTTCTGCACAGGACCTTAGGAGCCTGGCTTTGTTCTGCAGCTTCTTTAAAAGATGCCTTCCACAAAGTCTACTTTGAGTTTCATTTTTATCTGGGAACTGATCCATTGTTTGCATAAGTCATCTGTTAAGTTGCCTTGGGCGGCTGGTAAGCAGTTTAAGGTAATGTCTTTGTTTGGCAGGAGGAGCAGAATAAAGTCTATTACTGCAGCTTAACTGATGTGCAATGGTTTGGTATGCTATAGGACCTCCATATTAACAGTGATGTGCCCGTTTCTTCGGAGTGCAGAGTCATAGGGACAGATCCTGCAGAAGAAATCGTGGTGGGTCTGTGCTGGCTAGTTATAGTAGTGAACCAGCGTTTTATTCCCTGTGTAACTGCCTTACCCATTACACATACTTTGGTAGGCTGCTTTGCCTGTTTCATTAGCTTTTTAAACAAACTTGGTCTTTTTGAGGTTTCCTGCTGTGAGCTGCTAGAAGTCGCCCACAGTGTACACTGCCAAAATCTCAACTGAATAGCATGAACAGTGTGACTATTTCTTAGATCTCATAACTGCTCATTTCAGATCTTTAAATAAAACATTAATTCTCCAATAGTGAACAGCAACTGGAAAATGATCAGTGAAACTCTTGGCAAAGCATCGCTTTGAACCGAATGAGCCTAGTGCCAGTTCCTCATTTTGTACCAAACACAATGAAGGCCAGCATGCTGCATATTTCCGTCATCTGGGCATGTCCAGCTGTAGCTGGAGACATAAATCCAAAATGGTTACAGCTACTTCTCAACTAATTAACTATCTATCTGGCTTATGGTTTACCATCTACAGCTTTATGATTTACTGTCTACAGCTCTGTATGAATGCACATCTGAAGAACAGTTGGATATAGCGTGCATGTATACGTGAATAAAATGCATGTTCTTTTTGTGTTATATGGCTGTTAGCAGACTGATAAAGAGTAATTCACTTTTCATTACTGAAGAGATTAAAAAAGAATTTATTGTTTTAAAGCATCACACTGTTTTCTTAGGTATCTTAAAATTTTAATAGTTCCTTCAGGGCTTTTGATGCTATAAAAAGTCTGTAGTAAGCTTAATTTAAGATTGAAGATCTTTTTAGGAGGGGAAAGGATGAGAATCAAAGCAAATGGGAGCCTAATTCTACAGCCTGGAATTGAGTGCTTGAATTCCGTACTGTGTATTGGGAAGATGCACGGGGGAAAACATGGGGGGAGAAATAGGTGACTCAGGAAGGTGATCCAAAAGCTTTAGATACTAAGTGGAAACAGAGTTGTTATCTAGAGCTAGCTAGTAGGGAATGCCAAACAGAGGTCTATGCCTACATCTCTTAAGGGCATATGCACCAGAGCCCAGGCTCATGTTATCTTGTGGGGAAAAAACCTGTTAAAAAGAATTTTAATACTACTCATTGTCAGCTGAGATGATAAAATGGGGAAGGCCTTTTGTGTAGAAGAGGTTCATTGTGTGGTACACCTGTCAAGAAGAGAAAGGGAGTTGTTATCACTAGCAAACTGTGAAAATAGAACAAAAAATGCTATGGCCTGAAGAAATAAACAAGCATTTGGGGATCTCAGTGGAAGAAGTAAATGACCTTATGGGTAGCGATAGATATGGCTATTATTTAGTTCCAGAAAAAGAATTAAATAAGGCAGAGAGGGGAGACTGGGTAACTTCAATGTTTTCCTTAACAGTATTTATTGGTCCACTGTATTAAACCAAAAGGTTTTTTTAAACTTCTTTCAAGAGTTTACCTGTCATGTAATATATTGCCTGCTATTCTGCTGAGTGATATATAAATAGCTAATAATTTTAACTTTAATTTTAATTCATTATTCATAGCTCTTTGGGACCAATATTTTCCAGGCTTTTTCTATTTTTGTGCTGAGTGGAGGAGAAGAGATGAGCCTAGAGAGGAGGAGAGAGAATGTGAAAAAAATCCCCTCAGCTATTCTTGAGTTATGGAAAAAAATTATGCACTTTTTCAAAGAAGGAAAAAAAGCTTGCTTTAATTTTTTGAAAACTACAGAGAAAACTACCGAAGTTTGAAACTTGAAACAAAGTAGGCTTCTGAATCATAGAGATTCAAAGCTTTATTTGGAATCAAAGCATCCAAGTAAAGCTACATATGAATGAGCACAATTTCTGAGCATGATCAGTCACAATTCCTTAGATTTTAGCAAATCATATTACTACCGGTCCCTATTTGTGAAACCAGAGCACATTCATTCTTCCCGTTTGGCCTGACCAGAGGACTCAAGCAAAAAAAAATCGCTGCTGAAATAATTTGCGCAAGTGAGATTTTTAGCTGCTTCTCTAAAATAGACACAGTAAATTCCTCCAAATCCCAATGAATTATGAACAGTTGCTGGTGGAAAACCAGAAACCTTAACATGTATATATATATATATATATATATAAAGTTCCCTTGGGTTCTTCCAGTAGAAGTTAGACACAAAGATTACTCACAGTTAGTGACACTGGAGCCAAAACAACCCAGGCTGGATAAAAGGAGGATATGGTAAATCTCAACTGGTAACTGTTTCATTGAACTCCATTATATTTCAGGAATCTTACAAGTTTTTCTTGCTCGTTCCAGTTGCTACAGTGAAAAAGAAAATGCTAAGATTACCCCTTTTCAGCTACTCTAGTTCTCTTTTCTTCTTACCTATAAAGCTTTCCAACCCAAAATCACTTCAGACTGTAACTGGAAGTTGGGTTCTTCTGGCATGGTTAGTTATTTGTGGCTGTGATTAATAAAGATTTCCTCCTGCTCAGTCTTTGAATTTCAGACCAGTCAACTGATTTAGTCTAGCTGCAGAGTGCATGAAGGGGTGAGAAGAAGAATTCAATAACAGCAGTGGGAAGGGGCTCAGGATACCTGAGCGGGTACGGGCTGCGCATGGTGCCTGGAGTTGGCAGAGCGGTGGGTTTGGCTAGGGAGGGAGCCTGGAGTGGTGGTGGGTGAGCGATGCCTGGCTGAGAGGTGCTGGTGCGACTACCCATTTTGGTAAACCAAACTGAAAATGAAGTTCAGGAGAGATGGCTGTGGGTATTGTGTGGACTCAAGAGTCATCTGCACCAAGTGGCTAATGAAATATCAAATCAATACGAAAGCCTAGGAAAAAATGATTTATGCATCAGAGTGGAAAGAAAATCTGTGTGATTTGCCTTGAGTTCAGAGGGTTTGTAGAGAACAACAGGAGGTGAATTCTTGCTAATGCACTTCAGGTGTGACCATCTTTTTGGCTTGAGGGCCTGTAGGGTGAGAGAGAAGAAAAGGAGTTGAAAGGATAAGCAGAATGTTCTCTCCTTTCTACACAGAGCCTAGTTCAAGGAAGCTGTGTTTTAGGCCTTTTCTTTGGATTTTGGCTAAGGAAAGGCTGTTGTATTTGTGTCTTATTGTTGAAAGGACAAATATGCTTCACTTCTTTTTTCACTTCATTGTCTTGAAACAATGTGAGAGGAGTGCTTAAATTTCACTGCTAGGAGTAGACAACAAGAAAAGCTATTAAAATTATCTACTATTGCTAGGGCATTTAAAAACAGTTGGGAGATTTTATGTTTTGATGGATTCCTTTTAATTGTTTGTAATCAAGTCTAGCTGAACTGTGTTTATTATGACTGTTAAACTCTTTTACATGACTGGTGGCAAAAATGGCTTTTGCTATTTGCCAGAAATTTCTTAGATTGTGATACAGAGTGATGCTTCTCTTCTAGCATTAAATATGACTCTAATATATTTGGTTAAAAATTTTGAGTTAATATTTGTAGTTTTTATTATAGATATCTAAGTTACATGTCCTATATTTGTTTGAGATGCCTTCTTCATTATTTGGAATAATTAAATATTTCAGTAATAGTCACAGGTTAAATATAGATTCACTTACTATTTAGTTTGAATTCCCTGATGCTTACAGGATGTATCTCCTTGGTGTTATGCAGCTGTTTTGATTTGTGAACTATAATTACTTGTAACTGTGCAACACATACAACTAAGCAAAGTCTGTGTTTTTCTATGATATAATAAATGAACAAAAACCCCAAATACTGTAAGTCCCTAATATTTTGGATAACACTATAAATTTAAAATTCAGTATCGGAGAAGAATGACAAAGAACTCATGGACCTATATTTAGCAATGGTAATTTAATAACATAATCCTGTAGAGAGAAAATAATATCTCTTTCAATTTTAAAACTTAATGAATACAAAATATATTAAAAATGTATTGGTTCACCTGAGGCTTCAGAATTAGCTTTCCCAAGATGGTGGTACTAGGAAAACAGAGGATAATGCAATTTAAAAAGAGAAAAAAAAAATAGTATTGCCAATCTTGTTAACATTATGATAGAATGATTGCATGTTGGAGCTCCCCAAAATTACAATCCATAGTTATAAACATGTAAGAATTCAGTGACCTACTACAAGTAAGGTTAAAATATTTTTAGTTCATGGAAGCGTTTATTTGCTTCTCTATTTATATGTCTCTCTGTTTATCAGTAGTCATAGCTTTTGTTTTGATGTGCTACTGTTAATTTGTTGCTATATGAAATTCTTAACTTTAGTTCTCTTTAATTATAACTTTGAAATAAATATTACTTTTTTACTCTGTGCCATTATATTTATTATTAACCTTCCAAAACAAATTGGTAACACTTGTCCTTCCAGGTGATGGTAATTTTGGTGCTTTTTTTCCTTTCTTCCAGGGGTGTTAGAAAAAACATGCTTTTATTCAAATGGAAGTGAGGGCCTCACAGTTAACGGTGGCATTGAAACATCTGATGTTCTTTTGCCAAACATGGTTGAAAACAGTTCCAAGACTGATCCCACAGTGGATCTCAGCACACAGCCCTCTTCCTGGACCACCACACCTTTATCCCACATTGACCAAATGAACAAGAACTCAAATGTATTTAGAGAGACTTTCCAGGAAAAATCATTTGCTCTCACAACTCAAGCCACAGTGCTCAATCCTCACCCTACATATGATGCTGCTTTGGCAGAGGGCTCTGAAGACCGCACCCAGCTCTTTGCCACTGCAGAGGAGGCAACTTTATGGTCTACAGATGCATCCTTTGAAAACACAGAGAGGATGACCACTCTGCCAGTATTCAGTCCTACCCGTCCATCTGTGTTACAAAAAATGGATCAGAAAAAAAGTAAGTTTACATTTTATTTAGCTCCGTAATTCTGACTCAAAAAGTACATAACATACTGTTGGCATGCTTCCCAGTGTGTTTCCATGAGTTCTGAGGAATGTGTCCCTTTTGATAATTGATTTTGTCATGCACATTCCATGTTGCAAGCAACTGGTTTCTTATCAGAACATTTGATTGGCCCCATTGAGGAAGATGCAGTAAATTCTTTCAGGTATGAATATTTATAATGCATTTTTAATTGGTGATAAACATGCATGCTTACCAAGGCTGAAAATGAGTTATTGCAGACCATATTCAGTTTGTAGATTGAATTTTCTGTGTTTCTTTAAAATTATGTATGTGGTAAGTACCTTCCTGAACTTGGGATGTAATTACAGTTACAACTTTTTCTGTGTTAATAGATAAATTCTTCTCTAATTTGAAGCAGTTTCTCTGTGTAGCAATGAGGTTCCAGTGACATTTCTGAGGACTATAACCAAAATGTCTAGAGCAAATGATAACAATTAACTGTGATCAGTTTTTGGTGGGTTTTTTTGTTTGACTGTGAAAGTAGGTGCATTTCATTAGTGACATAGTAATTTTATTGATTCTTCACGTCAGTGGTAATTAAAGGTTCCCTGTTACTGTTTTGCTAATAACTGAAACACCAGGGTACCATATTAAAATGCATATAATTCTTTTGCTCTTGATCCCACTAGAGCACAAAGCAAATCTTATTCCAGGTCATAGAAAGATCTGAAATAGATGAAAGGAGATAGTCAGTGACCTGAAAGTGGCACACTCTATTAAATGTATTTTTGAAATGTCTATAAAATGAGAATGAAGAGATGGTATTTGACAGTGGGGATTGCTTCTGAAAGGCCACTGAATTATATGTTGAGGAGCAGGCCTGTGTGTCATTCCTCTGTTGGATTCTGTGCTCAGTTAAGTTGTAAGACCTGATATTAGTTAACTGATACTTTTTTGTTCTGCTGGGTTTTTTTAAGCATTCTCCCTTCAGGAGTTTGTCCCCACTGCAGATAAAAGTTGGGAAACAGCTCTATTATGTCTTTTTCTTGTTCTTTCTGGGGTGAAGTAAAAATACAGAAAACCTTGAATAAGATTTTATTTTTTAAAACCTGGTACACAGAAGACACTCCTTTTGAAGGCAATTCAGTGATAACTTATTTTCTCACTCAAAAATTAGCTTTCAAAAATAATAACTTACTGTGAATTGATGATTTGTCAACATTTTCTTCTGTCCCCTAGACTGTAGCAACTCCACAGAGCCTTTGAATGGTGCAGACTTTCTGTACATTGTTGCTAAATTTTCTTGAACAGATTTATCTTTCATTTTCTCCCCCTGCACCCCAAACTCAGAGCAAATGTATATAAATGCACACTTGTATCCTATTAGTGATTCATTTATTTACCTCTTTTGGTAACTTGGTTAATTATCACCACACCAAGGAACAACGTAGAAGCATAGTATGTTGCACTACAGATACTTCCAACCCATTGGATTTTCAATAATTACTGTAGCAAAGGACACCTCAAAATTAGTGGCCTGATGAATAATGTTGAGCAAAACTGTAGGGCAATACCCCACCTGTTTTTCTTAACTAGGTATTCCTTGATGTGTTGTGGGGTCTAACTGTTCCTATTGTAGAAGGTAGTGTCTTTGCGTTGCAGGCTCAGTAGCTGGATAGAGACAGTATAGATATGTTGTGTAAGATTCTGTATATTTGTATTCATCTGCCTAATCATCATATTTGAGACACCTGGAATTCCAGGAAATATAGATGAACAGTGTAAAACTTTTTTCCCTTTTCTTATTATATTGGAATGAACTCTTTTGAGATGGATATAGTATGCGTATACGTGTGCATGGGAGGTGATATCTTTCCCTCCTAGGATGTTGATGCAAGGACAAGTGCTACAGCGGCTCAGGACAACCTTAGGTCTGGATTTCTAAACTTTCAAATATTTGGGGTTTGGTATTCTATAGAAAGGCACTTGTAGCCTACAAAGAAATTCCAAGTATGTGCAGTTCATTCCAACAGCAGTATGACTGTATGTACATTCAGTAGGCATGACTACTTGAGATTCTACTGTGAGGTAGTTTATTCTGTGTATAGAGAAAAGGGCACAAGATTTTCAAAGACAAATTTGAAATATGACAGATTTCTTTAAAAAACAAAAACAATAACAAAACCTCCCCATCCCAAACTGAGATCCTTCAAGTTAGGTTTTTCTCCCCTTATTGGAAACACCAGGAGCTAGTATGTTACTAATCAATAACCTCTCAGTCTTTGAATCCACTTTAAAGGGTTTTGCTTATCTGCATTCATGTGGACATTGCCTTAATTCTGTATGTAGATACATAAAAAATGCATATATATTTTGGTGATTCAAATTTGGTCTCAGAATAACTATGTGTTTCCCTGGCTGTCCAAGGCATGGAGGACTAGAAAGCAGGAGATTTTGATAAGTACAAAGGGCTCCTCACTACCTTGCTTGTCCCAGCCTTTGCAAATTAACTGCTTACACTCATCTTCAGTCTTTTTGATCTCTCCTTTCTCACTAAGCTTTGCTTCTTGGAGGGAACTGTAAGGTAACAGAGAACATGGTCTCATGTCCACAGAGGTTCTTTCTTACATATTCTGGTGTGTAAGGAGATGGGTAATAACTGGGAGGTGACATATAAATAAGTTTTGGAATAGTGAGACTGGAATAGCCTTTTGGAGTTAAAAGGATTTTTTGGGACAAGTAAAACTTAATGACCACATGGGAATGGTGGTAATAGATCAAATAAAGTCTGTCTTGCTTAGTGTCTGGATCCGACTGTAACCATTAGCACGTGCCTAAAGAAGAATAAACTAGGGCTAGCGTACAGAGACACTTCAACATTATATGGTAGCAGATTCCAGTAATCTGCAGTAAGTCCTGATGAGCGTTCTCCCATGAATTTATGTCATCGCTTTTGAACCCATGTAAAATGGAGGTTTGAGCTTTTTAGGCATATCTTATAAGGAAATAGGGGTAATGTGGGACCGCTGCTAAACAAAATGGGTGCCCTGGTGACAGAAGATACAGAGAAGGCGGAGCTACTGAATGCCTTCTTTGCTTCAGTCTTCACTGTCGAGGCTGGCCCTCAGGCTCCCCAGTCCTGGCAGGTAAGCGAGCTAGCTTGGAGAAAGGATGACCTTCCCTCTGTCGACGTGGGTCAGGTTAGGGATCTTTTAAGGAAGCTGGACACCCACAAGTCCATGGGCCCCGATGGAATGCACCCACGAGTGCTGAAGGAACTGGCAGATGACAATGCTGAGCCACTCTCCATCATCTATGAAAGGTCGTGGAGAACAGGAGAAGTGCCTGATGACTGGAAGATAGCCAATGTCACTCCAGTCTTCAAAAAGGGCAAGAAGGAGGACCCAGGGAACTACAGGCCAGTTAGTCTCACCTCTGTCCCTGGAAAGGTGATGGAACAACTCATTCTGAGTGTCCTCTCCAAGCAAGTGGACGACAAAAAGATCATCAGGAGTACCCAGCACGGATTCACCAAGGGGAAATCATGCCTGACCAATCTGATAGCCTTCTATGATGGCATGACCGGCTGGGTAGACAAAGGGAGAGCGGTGGATGTTGTCTACCTTGACTTCAGCAAGGCTTTTGATACTGTTTCCCATAACATCCTCATAAGGAAGCTCACGAAGTATGGGTTGGATGAGTGGACAGTGAGGTGGATT